GAAAGAGTAGTGGAAGCCTGGCTAATAAAAATTTTGCATGTGACCTCGACTCACCCCAGACATGTTGCCTGTCCAGAGGGGGTCTCCCATTTCCAAATAGAAATGTTTTATTTCAAAATACAGTTAGACCTATGTAACAAAGAATGTAACACAAAAAGTCATGCAAAAATCAACAAATCAGTGGAACTAATTAAATAAAATATACAGTACTGTATGACCTTTCAGTTTCCATTATTGAGCTCACAATGACTGATTTATAACTGAAAAGTGTTGGATGCGTGTCATGATTCAGTACCACTGCTTCCTGTCAGGCTTTTATTTTGATGCCACTTCCTGTTTTGTTTCACCACAGTTTTGGTCTTTTTACTTTCTTCATCACTCGCATTAGTTTCACCTGCTCCTTATTGTTTACACCTGTTTTTCACCTGTATTTAGGCAGCGTCCTCCCACAAAGACACTGCCAGATTGTTCTAGACTCCAGCTCTGACTCTCCAGCATTCATACCTTGCCTGACTCTCTGTTTCTGACCTTGGATTACTGTTTTTGACCACCGTGTTTTGCCTATGCCCTTCCAGTTTCTGATTGCCTGCAGTGTACCGACCTTCTGAGTTATTCCCCTTGACCTCTCGAGTTTGGATCTCCTGGCTATACCTGTTTACCGGCGCTGACCCTAGACTGTCTTATCGACCTGATTGTTTATCCTGGACTGTGTATTGGTTGTCTAGTTGCAACAAGTAAAAAACCTTTCACTAAATCAGTTCGTCTGGTTTTATAATTGAGTCCACCACAAACACCGTTTGGCGTCCTTACACGCCAGAGCTGACAGATGTGCAAGACACAGATGTATTCTGGGTAGGGCTTGGGCATACTTCAGGCTCATGCTGTGAGCGGTACTGGAGTGAAATTGAAGCGGAAGGCAGGGCAACTCTCGCTCCTTTTTAAAAAAAAAAGCCACTCTGGCTCTGTCCAAAACCTTGCATCCCTGAATCTCATTGAAGCGGAAGGCAGGGCGACTCTTGTTCCTTTTTAAAAAAAGCCACTCTGGCTCTGTCCAAAATCTTGCATCCCTGAATCTCTACAACAAAGGCAGGGATAGCAAAATTAGCACTAGCTATAGAGTCCCCATAGCCACTTTGAGGGGAAATACAGCAGGTACAAAAAAAAAACATGTCATTCAACCATTATGATAAGTTAGGCTTCTGAATTGAATAAAATGGACACGGTGACTGACTGATACTCATTTTGAAGCTGGATTACCAATTGGGCAACTACCTCCAGGTTCATAGTGCAGTCTTTTTGGTAATTTAATTAATTGAAATTTCATTTGATAATGTGGCATGCACCACAAAGGGCCAAATCACTAGCTGTATATGAATATTGGCACAATACAAGCAGCAGGAAGGAAGCCACTATTATTAATACCTGGCCCCATGTCACAGAGGGGCCTGGGTGAAAATTTAACTTTACTGCCTTTATTCAGTTTATCTTGTGCTTGTGATTGTTAATTGTTGGTTAATTCATACACAGAGAGTGGGAGAAATAGGGCGGGCAGTAGTGACCTACAGCTCAGTTTTGCCCTGAGCCCCACATATCATTTAATGTACACCTGATTACTATGTGGCTTTTCACTGATGTAATTTTGCTTCTTTTATGGTACTCCAGTGGGATGAGATTTCGCTGAGAATTGGTACAGAGAGTCCAGTGCCTGTGCTCCAAGCTTGTAAAGGAGGAAGAAGAAGAAGAACCATTTTGAGTCAGTGGATGGAGCGTAAAGAAGCCCGCTATCTGCTGATGGATATTGCATTTGCCCAGGAGGAGGAGTCATCTGGTCAGCTCAGCCCACTACAAGCTCACCTTTTTGACACAGACACACCCATCACAAGATTTCAGAATAGACAGATAGTTCTGGACCTCCAGACCTCCAAGCCGTTTCCTGTAACAGCCAATTTAAGTCAAATATTCAGCTACCAGAACCGCAGCCTGGA